TTCTTTGAATACATGGATCTAATAATTATCATCTAATACTAGTTTGGCATCAGCGGAGTTTGTGAGCCTATATGGCGTAGTTAGAATCAAAAATTATCAGTAGATGGTTACAAAACAGTTGTAACTAATTTAGCAAGATTATAAAAGAGTGTTATCAAATTAGAAAGAAATTAGTCTAGTAAGAAGTGAATCCATTTAGGTGGTTGTTTATTGCAAATATAATCTCAAATTGGTTTGAGAGATTTTATTTATTTATTTATTTATTTATTTTTGTTAATTTGTTGTGTAAATGTTGTTGTAAATGTTGTTGCCAAATGAATGGTATTTTATCTTATTAATAAAAATAAAAATAAAAAAATAGAAATGTGTAGGAGAATAAAAATTAAAAATATATATATATATATATATATATATATAAGTATGTAAGAGAAGTTAGAGTTAGAAAGGAAGTTGGGAATCAAGTTGAATAAGGTCAATAGATGGAAAGAAGAATGAGTTTTACCTTCTAGGAATAGGCCAATAAGGACAGTTATAGATTACACACCTACAATCAATTAGTTGTGGTTTTTAATAAAAAAAAATAAAGGTGAAGGAAATTTCTCAAATATAATCAAAGACTAAAAAAAAAAACCAATAGGAATTTAAAGCTTGGAGTCTAAAGAGCAATCAATAAGGTAGAATAGGTTCAAGTACTAAATTTTAATTTGTTATAAGAAGAGTATATGATAATATCAATTTAAAATTAAAAATATTTTTTTTTAAAAAAAAATGCTAGGTCTCTATTAATTTATCACAGATGTTGTTTGTCTTAAGCTACTACCATGTAGAAGAAAAAAAATTGTTAGAAAAATACAATAATTGCAATTTTAATTTAAATTAGAATTAAATTAAATAAATTTGTTTTTATTTAACTTAAGTCTAATATTGAAGTATTAAAATTATATTAAGCTATCAACGTGTTGTTTTTTTACAAAAATAAGAGAATAGAATAGTGTAAATACTAATTATTTAAAAACTAGTTGAATAATCAAAACTTCTAATTACAAAGACCTTTTGTTTGAACCATAATCAATTAGCATTTTAAGCCAATTTGTAATGAAGGAAATTTTTCATAATCCACATTTATTAATCTTAGAATAAGTGGCTTATAATCAAATGTAGCACAAATAGTTTAGTACCACAATAATTAATACTACAATTCTACCTTTTACTTACTATTGCAAAATCCAAAAAAATTAAATTAATAATGTATTATAAATATTAAAGGCATAAATAGATCTATATCTTATCTATTTTATAGTAGTTGATAAATTCTTTTATAATTATTTTTTAAAAGTATATATATATATATATATATATTATCTATAAAATTATATTTAAGATAACATGAAATAGTTGCAAGCAAGCTAAGACTATTTATGGCATCTTTATTGAAAGATCATATCAATTGTAGAAATATAAGAAATTAGAGTTACTTGAGGTTTTTCTTTGGAATAATTTTTGTCAATTCTTTATATTATTAATGTGTTATTGAAATCCAAAGAGAGAGGTTTTAGCGAAATAATTGTCTTTATCCTAAAAAAATATAATTTGATTTTATTCTATATAAGACAAGAGAAGAACAATTAAACTCAATAAAAAAAATAAAAAATAAATAAAAAAATACATTAAAATATTAATAAAGAAGACTTAGTGAACAACTATTTTATTGTTGTGTTTAATAGTACTTGTTAGATTTAGATTACTAAAGCAAATGAATTCTACAATCTTAATTTGGCACATTTTTTCTTTTAGATTTTTTTATGCTACATATATTTACAAAAGGATACCAAAAAAAATATTTAGATTTCACTTGATAAAGCCATTAGATAAGAAATTATTATTATATTAAATTTATTATTATTATTTTAATACATGTTATATTATTTGATTTTTTTATATGTAAATAAAAATAAAAAATCATAAAATATCAAAACAATATATGATTACTATATATAAATTTTAATTTGTATTTGATAATTATAATAAATATTTCAATATTTATAAATTATAATATTAGTATTTATGATTTTTAAAAATTTGTATATTCTTATTAATTTTTTCTTTGTTTAGGTAGTAGCACTAATGAGTTGCATTAGTTTGATAGTAAAAATATTCCACAACTTAGAAGGTGAGCTATGCAACAACACTTTTAGCCAACATCCTACATTGTGCAATAAGAGAGACTCATTTTTTGAGTCTATCTTCTTAATAGTTGATTTATATCATAAACTTCTTATGTCTCTTTGACCACGTTATTTTCTCTAAACAATGTACAAGTGACAATTACAATTCATTTCTAGCCTTTCTCTAAATTAGGTGTAGCAAATAATCAATTCGGTACTACAAAGCTCCCGGAATTATTTGTTCGCATGATTTCATCTAAGTCATCGCCCTAAAGTCGATAAGTCTTCTAGCCGACTTCAGCTTGAGGAATTAAGGAAAGAAGGAAATAAAGAAGGGGCATTTCACGAAGATACCTTGCAAATGTAAAAGATGGGGATCACCGGGAATCCGATTGCGAGGTAAGTCACAGTCGTCGTGGTGCATGAATCTGCCATCGTGTCAGTCAAGGTCGAGGGACACAATGGGAAAATGAAAAATATCTGATGAACAGAATAGCCGGGAGAAAGGTTCGGCAATAGCTTCACGAGGTGGAAAGGGTGGAGTGCCCGCTTAGGCAAGCGCGGGCTGCCGGGCGGACGAGCGAGGAGGCGAGTCCAGCACGCGATCTCTCGCGACGACTCACGGCAAAGTTCTTCTTCTTCGTGCCTTGATCGTGCAAGGGCAGCATGACGCCGTGGACCACCTCACTCCCTCACCCACCCACCCACAAGCCCCCCTCATGTCGTGCCTCGTCCTGCCACGGACATGCTCTCTGCCCGCCCAGTAGCACCAATTGCTCGGTGCCCTCCATTCCAGAGAATGAAAGGTGGGGACAGCAACCGATGACCCCCGCTGCCCATGCCAATCGTTCTCGGCGCCCTTTCTGATTCGGCCCTAAGCCCAGAGATGCGTTAACCCTCTCGGGGAGCCCTGCCCACTTCTGCCCGTCCATGAACGTTCATCCTTCCTCTTCTCTTAGCTCCGTTCTCAAGACAGCTTACTTGCTACATGAATGTGTGCAGTGGAGCACACAAACACGAGTCCTTGCATTGGGACAAATTGGAGGCTGTGTAGAGGCAGAAATCACACAAGCACACCGAAAGCACAGAAAGCAGCAAGGACAGCGAAGAACACGAGTGGTGGCGAGCTTCACCACCGAGCTGAGGGGCGTGGAACAGAGGTTAAGGAAGGATGAAAGTTCAGGGACGGGCAGGGAGAGGGAGATGCGAGAGGTTTTATGGGGGGGGGGGGGGATTAACGCAACCCTGGAGAGCATCACGAGATCAGTGCAGCGCTTTTGTCTGCAGCGATTTGGCAGGACGCCTCGCAAGCACCTAGCAGAAGCACCGCCGTCGATCGGAGGCCATTTGTCAGCAGCCTTCCCGATTCCTGTGGCCAGGCGCCAGCGGTGGACCTTCTGCAGAAGTAGTAAGTAGAATTCCTTGGTCCAACTTCGTTTTTGGCTGCGGGCACACTTCAACTGGCCCGCACGCTCGCCCACCATGCGTTGTCGTGGTTGCGTCGACATGCTCCTCCTCCTCCTCCGCGCCGGTGGGGAGTCCCCCCGCCCCTATTCTTGCCACCGTGTCGCTCCTATTACACACGTTCCACCCATTTCATTACCTTTATCTCTATCATTATTCTTTCTTTTCTTTCTCTTTTTTCTGAATCGCACAACCTGACGTTTGATATAGGTAGGAGTTTTTTTCCCTCTATAAAAGAAGTGGGTGATTACTTCTAATCGTCTGTGTATATATTTCATCCAATTTAACTTTAATAGTAAGTTTGTGTGATAAATGGTGTTGTATGGTGGGTGAAAATGTTGTGGAATTATGTTGCAGCATTACTGGAGAAGATTATTATCATTTTTGCATGTATTTCAACAACATCATCAAAATAAGTAACATAACCTGTTTCTTCGTCTTCTTCTTCTTCCTCTACTTGTGTGTGTGTGTGTGAATATATATATATATATATATATATGTATATTTATACTTATTCTGCCAATGAGTGCAACATGGAATTATGTCGGACTTTTTTTTATTCTTGATTTGTTTGTTTCAATAAACTGCCTTCTACAGTATTTTAAAACGTGTGTGTGTGTGTTAAAGCACACATGTATAAAGTGTAATTGAAGAGTTGATGACTGCCTACAAAAGTGTCCTCTTTGATTGAATAAAATGCTGAATGCTTGATACGTGGCATGTGCCTGAATGCTAATTAAGGCTGCACTTTCTTGGTGGCAGAATGTAAATCAAAGTGCTTGGGCGGCTCGAAAGACAAAAATGAAAAAAAAAAAAAAAAACAATAAAAATTACTAAATCTCATCACTGGACAGTATGGACCTTCACTTCACTATCATGCCATTCTCTATTACAACTCTGTGAACTTCCGCTTATGATGAGTCCCAAGGAATTGAAATTGGGTCCCAATGACCACCACCTGGAACTCCAACATTGGATCGACCACCTCGGCTTTTATGGTGTGTTTATTGATCCCACGTGGTTCACAAAACGAAGTAAATGAATCTACATTTGTAATATTAAACTCAGAAGCGGGGTCTGATTCCTTGGTATGTCAAAATACCCAAATCTCACTGTGTCTGCAACTGGGTAAGTTCCAAGCTAATTTCATCTCCAGCCCTGGAAACTCAACAGCAACAGCATGTGACACGGTCTGTTCTGAATTTGAACAAACATTTGAATTTCTGGTAGGTCTGAGGCGCCTATGGTGCGTGGCCTGTCGAAGAAATTGGAGAAAAGGAGGGTTGGTAAGCCAGACAGCTGGGTCGGAAAGTAGGCTCGGGAGGTGGTGAGAGGGGAAGGTCGGAAGGAAGGTAAAGAAGCCCCGGATCGGGTCGCCTGTCGGACACAGCAGCTTCTTCTGCAGCGCGCAGCCAATTTGCTTCGTTATGAAGACGCCATAACCGCGGAGAAATCTTGCGCTCGGACTCCACGGCCTCCTTCCGTAGCACGTCACAGCGCAATCAAAGCCAGGGAGCTTTGCAATCCACTCTTCATTGGGGAATTTGGAGTAGTGAGGGCTCTGAAGCGTGTGTTTGAAGGGAAGTGTCGAGGCGTCTAGACCGAAGGGTTTGGTTGTGCTGAGTGAGTGAGTTTCTATAAATGTGGAGGGAGCTGGAGTAGACGAGAAGAATCTCGTCTTGAAGGAATTGGCGAAATGTTGAGATTAGTGGAGGAGGAGGAGGAGGAGGAGGAGGGGCACTTTTCGAATAAGAGAGTAGATGGTGGCTGTGAGTGCAGTAGGAGGTGATGAAATTGAAGATGGAAGATGCATGCATGGATTTGTTGCCGAGGTAGCGGGAACCTTTGAGGTGGTAGAAGAGGGTATATGGAGCTTGCGCAAAGCCGGGTTGACGAATTTCGGATCTGAAGAGTGTCATTCAGAATTGGTTTTGTTGTGTCAGGTCTGTGGTTTGTTTGTACATGCGATCGGCATTATGGCGCTGTGTTCTCGTTCCCCTCCAGGCACTTTGGGTACACAGGGTTCTATTAGAAGTAAGAATTCATATACAGCAACTGAAATTGAGGCGATCCGTCTGGGGCCGCAAACACACCATCAGCAGTTGTCGAGATCTACAATTTTAGGATCTGTGCCCAGTTTGTCTCACAGCAATGCAAGTAGGTTTTCACACCATACCTCACACTCTTCAAGTGACGTATTAGACGTTTCATCTAGCAACTCATGTTCTGTAGGGTCTCACAGGAGCATCAGTCGAGGTGAAGCCATACACTCTATGATGGCATGGGAAAGTGACGATCCTCGATCTGGTTCTGGGAATCTTTCCTCCCCTATTTCTTCGAGAATGAGAGAGCGCAGTCCAGTTCTTGTGTTGCGCGGGCCGATCTCTCGCAACGGATGTGCTTTACTTATTCACTCTGCCTTGGGAAGTGTTAGTTGCGGGGGGATTCCTCACTTGGATCCGCATGTAGAGCGAGAATTGTCGCGTAGGTCTCCTCACTCGGGTGAGAGGGGCAGTCCGATCGTTGCAAGTAGTGTGGGATTTAAGATTGGTAATACTGACGCTTCCCCTGATTATCAACGAGCCCTCGCGAGCTTGAACCAACCAACAGAGTCTGGAAAGGCTGTATACACGTCTTCTGAATCTTTTCGAGTGGAAGGTTTTAGTTCAGGTGCTTCGGTTCATGGAAACTCGTCTCGTGTTACTCTTTCACTTCCGCTATACTCTAGTGGGAGGAATTGTTTGAGCACTTCTCAACGTGACGCAGCTCCAGATATCCTTGAAGCAAGAGAGAAGATTGTGAGGTTAGCAGAACAGGTCATCAACTTGCCCTCGGTAGGCACTGAAGATTTAACAAAGGTGAATAAATCTGCCTCGCCAACTGCGGATGAGCTTCTGAGAAGTGCACAAGCTAGATACAAGGCCTTCTATGATCCTATCGTTGTCAAGGCTTTCAGGATGGCAGAAGAAGCGCATAAAGGACAAGTAAGTCTCCTTAAACTCAGGCACTTGGGTATGGTCATTGCCGTTGATATGCTTGTGTTTATAAGATCGCTCCAGGGCTCCCAGTCCTGCTCCTTGGTTTGAAGGACGCTTTTTGTTTTGTTTTTGTTCTTTTGTTTATCTTGTCAACGACGTAACATGTGTACATGTCATTAATGAATCGTTCTCATGGTTTTATTGGACAGTTTCGGCGAAATGGAGACATGTTCTTGGCTCACTGTGTGGAGACGGCTTTGATTTTGGCGGCAACTGGAGTTGGCAATATAGTGGTTGCAGCTGGATTACTACACGATGCCATTGACGACTCTAACTTGAGTTTGGAACTGTTGCGGTGTTCTTTGGGAGAGAATGTTGCGAGCTTGGTCATAGGGGTATGCCAAAAAATATTCTTGTTTTTCATTGCGGGTAGACAAATGCTTTTTGGTACTGTTTGGTGAAACAGTGTTGAGACATTTTGTTGAGGAGGTTGAGATGGATATCAAATTTTAATTTAATGTAATATTGTACTGTTTTGGTCGATTCTGTGTTCCTACCGTATTTGAATATTACTGTTTTTAATGATTATTATTATTGTTGTTATTTATCATTTATATATTGCTGTTGTTGTTGACAGGTTTCGAAATTGAGTGAATTTAGTCAGCTTGCTAGGGATTGCAACACCGTTTGTGATACATTAGAGGCTGACAGGCTGCGGACAATGATTCTGGCTATGGTTGATGTTCGGGTGGTGCTTATAAAAATAGCTGATCGATTGCATAATTTGAGGACTTTAGAGGCCTTGCCTTCCCACAAACAGATAGGTATTGCCAAGGAGACGCTGGAGATTTTCGCTCCCTTGGCGAATCGCCTGGGTATTTGGAGTTGGAAGGCTGAAATGGAAGATCTTTGCTTCAAGTGCTTGAAGCCTGTAGATCATGAAAATTTGTCCATAAGGCTGTCAGAGCGATGTCGAGAGGGACTAGTAATGTCTTCCATCAGAGACCTGGACGAAGCATTGAGAGTTGGTGGGGTGCAGTTTATTGATCTGTGTGGACGACCTAAGAATCTGTACAGCGTTTACAAGAAAATGATGAAGTAAGAGCTCATGATGCATATTTGGTTATTCATACGATGTTGGGCATCCCATTTGTGAATGTAGAAGTTGTAATGCTATGAGTGGCTGGTTCAATGCTTCTGCGGATGCGTCACTAAGCCATTTTTGGGATGATTCTGTGCAGAAAAAAGAGAAGCCCCGATGAAATTCTTGATGTAAGAGGATTGCGTCTGATCGTGACAGATGAGGAAAGTTGTTACCAGGCTTTGGAGGTCGTCCACCAACTTTGGCGATGTATTCCTGGAAAGACGAAGGATTACATTGTTGATTCGAAGCCGAATGGGTACGGCATTCAATCTAACGGGGGATTCTACACCATGAGTGCATTTCTTTTTTTGTAATCGTATGGGACATTTCTTTCTTCCTGTATTTCAGTTTGCCTCGGCACACGACTTGTGATTGGGTGTTGATTGGTCTTTTATTTCTTTGCAGATACAAGTCCTTACACACTGTTGTGATTGGAAGTGACGGATATCCGCTGGAGGTGCAAATTCGGACAATGAAAATGCATCATCAGGCTGAATATGGGTTAGCAGCTCACTGGAGATATAAGGAAGACAACAGTGAACATTCTGCTTTCAGTTCTGAACGTGTGGAGTGGGCTCGCTGGGTGTTGACGTGGCAAAGTGAGATCATGGATACTAAGCTGAGAGTATCACCGTTGGCAGCAGATTTGAAACCGCCATGCCCTTTCCCTGTGCACATCAAAGAGTGCCCTTACGCGGGATCTTGCTGCGAGCCAGTGATGAGGGAGAATGACCCAGTGTATGTTATAAAAATGGAGAACGAACATATTCTAGTGCGAGAGCTTCCTCCAGGTTCTACGGTTGGAGACCTTGTGCGATCGAAGCACTCGGATATGAATTCTCTTGTGGTGGATTCAAGATCTGCCAACGATAATGGTTTGCGCGTTAAAGTGAATCACGAATTTGTCGACACAATGGAACAGAAATTAAAAATGGGCGACTTTGTAGAGGTTATGAGCACTGTAAAGAAACCCTGCGGTAAGGTAGCTTTAGAATTCCAGCGGGAGCAGCTGAAGCGCCTATACCTTGATGGAGGAAGCTCCAATGAAGATACGAACACCACCTGGTGGGAGCGAAGTGCAAGCGTTGCTGGTCTGTAATGAGGAGATGATTTGGACGTCCTTGTTTGAGGACAAAGGCATGGGCGTTCTACATTTGGCTGTGTATATTGTACAGAATTAACATCAACAATTGGTTAGATATAATTCATTCTTTACCTCAGATGGGGTTATAAGGTTTATACCCAGGAGCTCAATATGGAGGACTCCTCCATTCGCAGAATATGGCTAGTAGTCAAGTTTTTCATCTATGTAAGGAGAAGAAATCAGTTTCAAATTGTTATCAGTGTATGACTAAATTAAGAAATCCATTCTTTTAGATCTTCACTTGTTGCCCTCTGTCTAGAACTTGATTTGGATATAGCACTTCTAACTACATATTTCTTCCAGTTTTGGGTATATTTTTCGATGTCTAGTTCTGGCTTAGGCAGTGCAGGTGACGACTGCTGTGTGATGTCCTTTCGGGCACCCTGCAGTCGATTCCTTTCACTCTACATATCTTCTCGAAGAGGTGAGATGTTAGCTTTGCATGCAGTGAATAATCAAAACAGAAATCTTTGCTTATCGGGTTGCTAGTAACAGTTATTCTCTTCCTGAGTCTCTGGAGCTGATGAATTGGGTCACGAAAGTTTTGTGATTTTTGATCTTTCAAACTGCGTCAATTTTGCATCATAAGTTTAACGTGAAGATGGCCTAGAGGCTATGATGACTATTTTGATGAATCACATTTTCAAGGGGCCCATGGCGCTCATGGAGGAGACAATTGAAGTAGTGTGGATGCTATACCGCGGAGGTCATGCTTCGACCCCGCGTTGTTCTTGTAATTGTTGGCTGTAAGGGAAAGCTGGAATCCGTGAAATCATATTATGACATTACAGCCGGATTCTTTTTCTCCTCTCGGTCGCCCATGTACAATTAGCTCATAAGTGTTGAACCACAAGATTATTTTCCGATGTAGACATCACCTGTTCCTAGCGTCGGTAAGTGTTGAGGGACAAGTCCTGCACTGAAATTTGCTGCCGCTTACTCTTGCTGTAGTAAATGCCTTCTGCAAATCTTCACATTTGAAGTTTGACCTTGTCAGTCAATCAGATCAGCTTACACACTTTTCTCCCGAGGGCTAAACGCAACGTATTGACACCACATTTCCTTTCTGGAATGACAATATTATTGTTTTTCCTGCGACCTTCAGCAATTGGTGTGCAAATGTGCGAGATGGAAAATATTTGGTTTTTGATCTAAATCATGAGCAACTTTCATTCCGTTGCTGCACTCACACGCTCATCTATTTCCTCCCAAAGAAAGAAGCTTACAGGATCAATCATATTGCTTAAAATTCTTCAGAGACTAATCTTTTAGCTTTGCAGAGGTGAAACTTTCAACCAGATGGGCACTGGAACAAAAAGCTGGAGTCGCTGATATTAAGCTAGCTGATGAGGTTTTCCTCAAAGGTAGCACAAAAAGAGGTCGAGAATGCTGCGCAAGTTCATTATAGGTCAAACGCTCGCCTTGCAACAAAGTCAAGAAACCATGGCAATCCAACAATTGGAACCGACAAATGAGATTTGTCTTGGGAGATTCCACCTTTGAGTGAGCTCTCTTAAAATGTGTTGCCACCAGAGAACTTTCAATGCATTGTTTTTTCTGTTTTAAACAGTTGCAAATATACCATCAATATAATACCGAGAATGAGTACTGAGAATATCGCTCTAGATTTTATAGATCACCTCAGGAACAGCGTTTGAGCGTCTAAATTTTTTTTTTACTCCATCCAAACTTGACCGAGCATCTGATTGGTAATGACAAAATGCCATCAATCCCTATCAACTATCTAAATCACGTGACACTTTCTGTTACGTTGAGGGCAAGATACCGCTTGTGTCGGAGCTGGCAGATGCCAGGCACCGAACGACTGTCATCCTTCATATTCTTTAAGTGAAAATGGTATTTTTTCGGCTGCCTTTTGCTAGTTTTTCCGCAAGCTCTTGCATAGAAAGCATAAGCATTAAATTTTGAAGCGCATGCAGGAGGTTATCACTTCAAAGATAGTTGATAATCCTGAATAGATGCAGATTCGAGAAAGGTCATCCGAGATGGCATTATCGGGGTCAAGGCTTGTGATAACGTCAATGATACTTGCAACAATATATTTGCACCGAAGACATTCACTGGAGACACGTTGCAGATTGTCATTCCTACTAGCTTTGTGTGCTAATGTTAACAATGCTGATGCAGGTCGCGTTGGAAAATGGTGTAGCGGAGTCCAAAGGGAGTCTGGTAAATCAGAATTAAGTTTAGCTCACTTTTGAGGGATTTTAGTGGTGCACCCACCAATCTCTCTGGTTTCGTCTATCACAAGATTTTGAAGATGTGTTCCTCACGCATAATCCCCCCCCCCCCCTGAATAATTCTATCAATTTGACTTTCACTATGAGAATGAGATTTGTTGGACACGCTTTGAATGATTACATAAGCAATTTTTTTATGGCAACGGACTTCCATTTGGTGGAGGTCCTCATTTATGTCCTGAAAATGAACTTGCAATCAGAGGTGCTGCTCTTCATCTATCATTTTATCACGAATTACAGGTTATTTTGATATTTACGCAAGTTTATCTGCTGTTTTTTCACCGCGCTGTTCTTTCAAGTGATGAAAACTTCAGATTTTGCACAACAATCGTTTCCATAATCTTGTGTGGCACCTCATTAGTGGATCAGATGGTCATTATTTTTCATGCTCTGAATGGTTGATAGTTCATTGATGTTTTGAATTGGGTTCCGTTGCACGGACAGTTGATAGTCAGAACCGCCATGGTGGTGCCATCAGGATGAGAGGCTTCACGAAAAAGTATTAATTTGAATGCCACAGGAATGAAAATCAAATCATTTAGACTCTTCGCTGCTGTGATCGAAGTCAGGAGCGGTTTTTATCTAAATTAAGCTAGAAAGAATAGTTCACTAAGTTTTAATGCCCTCCGAGATGGGCAAGCCGATAGATTCAGTGTGGGCGGTTCAGAAACCCTGCGCTGATGAAGTAACTGATACTAACTAGGATTACAAGGTGCCAACAGGCACGTGCAATCAAGGTCGCCGCGAATCGTGGTTGTTTCCTTGAAACAAATGAAAACAGCTTGCAATATTGCAAATTGGCTTTGACAGCAACTAAATTTCATTTGCAAAGGTGACGACACTGATGATGATCTGCTACGTTTCGGATTCGAGCGCAGAGTATGATGGTCGCAGCTTGGAATGAACTCGTCGGTAAATCCTGCAGTGGTGTCAGAAATTTAGGAACTCAATATTACCATCTGCAGGAAAAGAATTATTCGTGACAAGAGTCACGGCAATGTGTCGATTTTCACAATCCTGAAAATCAACGACGGACGCGCGATTAGCCAAGTTTTAGATATGCAAGATGACGCTGAGGCCAGGTCGCGGACCGTGGTGGCTCTGATCCATTTCGCAGCTGTCCGTTGAAGGAGCGTGCCTGCCGACATCAAATTTCTCGCCATCTCCCCACAAAGCGTATGCTTCCTCGCCGTGCTCGGCATCGTCGCCTACCAGCAAGTGCTCCTCCGACATGCGGAGAGGCATGACCATGCCAATAGCGAAGATGATCAAAGTGGTCACCACAATGTTCCAGCCGATGATGAAAAGAGCTCCCACAATCTGCTTCAGCACTTGAACCCCGCCATTCCCACCGTACAAGAGCCCGTTGGAGTTCGTCACCGGCACATCCATGTACGCGCACAGCGTCGGATCCGCGAGAAGCCCCACACATACCCCACCCAAGCACCCCGCCACTGCGTGCGTATGGAACACACCTAGCGTGTCGTCTACATCCTGCAGCAGCGACCAGTGCTTGTGCAACCACATCATGGACCACCATGGAACACTCCTGGCCAGAACTCCCATAATCAAAGCAGCCCACCCTGGCACAAACCCTGCACAAACAAAATTCGAAATCCGTTCAACACACAAGGGACTTCCACCTCATAGACACTTTGCCAGCCTTAGATTCCAGAAAGAGGTGAAGTTGAAACTAGAAGTGTGTTCAATTTCTCACCAGCGGCAGGCGTAATGGTCACAAGTCCTGTCATCATGCCCTGAACAGCTCCGATAACCGATGGTTTTCCAAAGAAAATTACGTCCAGGGTAGTCCACGTCAAGAGGCTTGTTGCAGCGCACACATGTGTGTTGAGAACAGCCAACCCCGAGATTATATTGGCACTGAAAGGAGCGCCACCATTGAACCCTGACCATCCCATCCAGAGGAGCCCAGCTCCAGTGAGCATGAGCAGCATGTTATTCGGTGGAAACCTCTCTCGATCTTTCGGCAGCCGTGGTCCTACCTGCATTGCAACAAGTCAGGGTGCCGATGTTTCCATTCAACTTGACCACGATGCAACGCCAGAATCTCGCATTCAAGGTATCGGACAAGACTGGGCCTGGAGTTTGGCAAGAGATGAATTCATACCCAGAACGCAGCGACGAAGCCAGCAACGCCGGACGAGACATGGATGACATATCCTCCAGCGTAGTCAATCACCCCCCACTGCCACAGAAACCCCCCGCCCCACAAGCTGAACGCTCCTACGGTGTACGATAGTGCGAGCCACAAGGGCACAAACAGCATCCACGCTCGGAAGCTCATCCTCCCGAGGACGGACCCGCCCAAAAGGATGAGAGTGATAGCGGCGAAGAAGAACTGGAACAGCACAAAGTCCGCCATACCATACATTGCTTCCACTGCATCTGACTCTACCGTCCCGTTTTTGTAAAAATGAACTGTGGACGGCATCTTCGCCTGCTCCAGCAAGAATTCGTAACCGAGAGTAGTACCGGCTTTCCCCCACATCGGCAGCAGCCACTCTCCGAATGACATCTTGTACGCCCATGTAACCCAGCACAACAACGTTGCAGCGAACGCGTACAGCGACATGAATGCAGAATTGACTGCCCATTTTTTCTTCACAATGCTGCCGAAGAGAATGACCAGTCCGGGCATAGATTGGAGTCCTACAAACGTAACCGCTGTCAACTGCCATGCGTTGTCACCCTTGTTGAGCCAGTCGGGTAAGACTTCTCCCGTATTCATGTATGCAGAGGGAACAGGATTAATGGATTCAACAGCCATGCGGTGTGGCAAAGCCATAATGCACCGAACTGTTTGGGTTGAGTGCCGGAAAGTTTGGATTCAGCGCTGTCTTGTCGTCACTTTCAGTCCAGATGTCCAACCTTGAGTTCTACCAAGACTCGCCAAATATGAACACCGTCTTCAAAGCAGTCTGTTTAATGCAACCAGAGCATTCACCTCCCAGAGTCAGTACAACTCACGAAAATCAAATATGGAAGTTCTTCGACCACAGTCATTTCATTCAGGACAGGATCACTAATTTTCGCAGAACTTTGGTCCACACAGAAATGACTCAGAAATGTAATTCGCGATGTAGCTGCGTTTCTTTTTGTTATCGACTCTATCTCGAAGGCATACTTTCCGAACATTGTAGTGTGATCCATCAAAAAGCATGTTCGTGAACCTCTAACGCAGCAATGACAGAGATGATCAGGCTAGACTGCTGATGTGGGGTTCCTTTTCAGATTGTTTCAACCTAAATGTCAGACTACATCTGGTGAAAACTCATCATCGTTGTGAAGCTGGCTGTCGCAGGTGGAGTGTTCGCTTACCATGTTGCGATGCCCCAGAAACTCGCCTGCTCACAAGGATCTTGTGAACCCATGGTCTGCATCAGGACGCTCCCACGACAAACTTGTAGACTTGTCGACACCTACTGATCTTCAAACTAAACGAGAAGCCCTAGAGAGCCTTTCTGCTGTCGTCACTTTCCGGGCTGTCTTCTCAAGCACTAAGTTAACTCGACCAAGACAAATTGCAACAAAAGAGCTGGCGTTAAAGCAGAGAGCTTCGTCGGCGTAGGTAACCATAAGAGAGTGTCGCAAACGCCTCCGGAACTTTTTCCTCTTAGATACCAAACCTCGTTTTAGTAATCCATTAGCACATGCTTTCAGCTCTGGACACATGTATGTACAGTATTTACCAAGTCGCCGAAAATGAAGTGACAGCAGACTCTTAACTTATAAAAAGCCCACCAATCCACGCCGATGTTCGAAGTCAATCCAATATACGTGGAGAACTTAAATCTTTGTTCAGAAAATTCCTTGTGCATCATTGAGGAGACCGACATCAAAGGTTCAACTGTGCATTGTTCTGATTCCTATTCTATGTAACTTAAATAGTGGTCTACATGCATGAAATAAAAGATTTGGATTCTGCAAGAATATTGTCGAGAACTATGTGTCAGCGAGTAACAGAGTAAAGGTGACGAGAGCCTTGCGTTTAATTTGATTCCTTTCCCATGAGGATATTAAACTTCCCTTCGATTAAACATTCAACAGAATCATTACAACAAGAACTGTGGTAGCCGATTGAATTATGTCAATGATCAGCTGATTGACAAGAGTTGAAACCTCGCATTTCATGTTACTGTCCTGTTTGGAGTTCGATACCCGAGCAACTTGGAACCGAAGTTACAGAACATAAGATTTATATAATTTCTTCATCCATATCCCTCCCAAATTCAGCGCTTTATCAGCATATCCAAATTTGAATTTGGATATGCTTCTCTCAAGTCCTGTTCGAATAAGAAACATTTCTTTCTAAACACTGAAACTCATAACGCATCAGTTTACGCACCCATGTCCGTGTCCACCATCTGAAACCCTTTGCGAATTTTCTACTGAAGGAGTCCTCTGCAACTCCAACCAGGAGGGGGTTCATCAAGTCTAGATTGTTGTAATAGTCACCTCCCCAGTTCCAACCCGAGCCATACCATTGGCTGCTGCAGGCCCCAAGTTGCCATCAGAAACAGTCTACTCACAAGCTCAAAAAAAGTAAACCCCAAAATCAAGATCGCGAACCTCACCCACCATCGACAAAACCCCCCAAAAAACCACCGGATATTCATACGTCCTCATGGATGCCGCATACACTCCTATCAACGGTATCCTTCGCTTGAACGCTGTCGATCGACGGCTACTAGCTCATCATCGGTATAAAAACTGTAGCAGCGACTTCTGGTGGCCGCGTAGGATTTCGCATACGGCTACGATTGACACAACTGCTTTCATCGACGGTGGTGCATAACTTACATTCGACCCGCCGCGTAAACATTTTCTGGGTTATTTTTGTGCTTCCTTGAATCCTGAAAGAATTTTACAGAATAGATCTTTCGGCTGTCAACTAAAATTGTAAATCGGTCGAAGGTGGCAGTGGAATCAAGGAGGTGTGAGAGGGAGGTTTACGGAGCGGTTTGAAAATCCAGGCGCCATGCAGTAGTTAACGGCAGCTGGAAAACCTAACTGGATCTGCCATCGATCGTGTCTCTGGCTTGTGAACTACCTGAATTAAATTCAATGAGACATGGGTCCCTACAATCTGAAGCTTTGAAAGACTTTCGTGGACCCCAAACTGATTCCTTCCTTTCCCAGATCCCTCAAAGGATTGAACAGCATCAAAGGCATTGCAAAACCTTGGAAGTGGGAACATACGAAGACAAAACATTGTCCCACCGCACATGAGCTGAAGCGCACTGGAGGCTGATGAGAAGGTTGCTATGGTTTCATTGTTTTTGTTTTTTATTTTTTATTGCTAACTATAGAGCTAGCACATCTAGGTAGATTCCTTATGTTAGCATGGCATGTCATTTTGGGTTTTTTTGTAGGGTTTCATGAGGAGGTTTTCGGCATTGTGAGACTGATTGCTAGGTCTGAAAATCACCACACCAGTTAGTAGTAGAGGTTGACTCTAGGACGTGGATGGATGGTTGCTGAAAATGCAGCACCAACAGGTAGCATCCGTTTTCATTTTGATAATTATGTGGTGTGTGTGGATGGAATGGCTGAAAGCGGAGGTGCAAATCTTTCACGTCTTAGTGAGTTATATGACTGAGCTAATGTTACCAATGAGGATTAAACCACGGTTTTGAAGGGTTTCGGTTTTAGCATGTTTTTGTTCCGTATTGCTATTTCTCCTTTGATTGAAGATCTCCTTGTTCCACACACACAAATATATATATATATATATATATATATTAATTGATTTAATTTGTTAATGTAACATGTTAAATATTTTTTCAATCTGAGTATTTATTTTTCTTAATTATGTTTTTTTATTTTATTTTGTTTATTTATTTTGTTTGTTTGTTTGTGATTTGTTAAGGATACTTTCAAATTTTGTTCACACAAGTATGAATAAAAGATGATGTCAACAATATATTTTAAACAGGAACAGCTTGCATATTCAAACAGATAGTGAGTTCTTTATCTAACTTAAATCAGATTTTAAAAGTCATTGCTTTTGTACTCTATTTGTTATTATGTAAATTTCTATACAAACTTGGAAGAATCTCTACATGTTTATGTTTGAAATTTCTATAATTAGATTTTTTTGGCTTCATCATATACTTAAGCATTTTAGGTTTGATATTCAAGCACATACCCAAATCTGCATAAAGTTTAACTGCTGTCAATGTGTATATATATATATATATATATATGCTTATTAGAAACTGAGATTAAAATTTGACTACAGAATGTACAGTGAAAATAATAATAAAATAAAATAAAATAAACCTGCCTTGTTATGAACATTTTAGAATGTTACTTTGTGTGGGACATCATCATTCAATTTATTTATTTTTAATATATCTAGAATATAATGGAAAAAATATAATCTTATTCATTCCTTATAAAACTTTGTTACATTTAAAGAAATCATCATGAACTTTTCCGTTTGGGAATACAATTTTAATTATCTTGATCTATTTGAGACTACAATTTTATTTACTTGCTTCAAAATTCTAATAACTACCTATCACTATATTTGAGTTTATAAGAAAATCTAAAAATATATTAAAGGAACATATTTAAAAAGCATAATTGAAAATGTTCTTAAAATTCTTACATTGTTTTAACTTATAATATGATTAGCAGATAAAATTTTGAAATTTTAATTTTTTATGCAGCCAAAAATATAATTATATATATTATTTATTCAAATAGTTGTTTAAAGATATTTTTAGTATAGAGGCAACTGTGTAGATTAGAATTGTTAAAATATTTGTAATGTATCCATTGTTGTCTGTGATATGTTTTCATTTTTAACTTTGTGAAAAAACAATCTACATATTAAAATTTATTCAAGTTTAATAAAATATTTAGTAATTATAAATATGATATTTTCTTGAATTTTTTTGATACAACCCTTTTTGCATATCAACCTGTTACATGTCAGGTTTAAATTTTAAAACATTTATTAATATATGATATATATTAATTAATCAACGCTTAAGCACTCTCCTTATCATTCTGATTTTAGTCAAAGTTTGATAGAGTTACTCTTTAAAATCTAACTGAAACTTTTATCCTAAAATCAATGGTTTTCTTTTCACAGATTGCTGCTGTTTGTGTGATATTCTTATTAAAAATATCCACAAAATCATAACTACTATTTCATGTGAACATATATATATATATATATATATATAATGTTATAACATTATTCAAAGGTAACATGAATTTATAGTGTGGACTTAAATTTATTAAACACATATAACTAAGTTAAAAATAAATACCAATGAAATATTTTACTTTAATTGGAAACATAATTAATTATATATTATTTTAATATTTTATTTTTTATTTTTATTGAATTATTAAAAAAAAGTGCATTGATTTTATTTTTAAAAATTTGGAATATGTCATTAAAGTAAATAAAATTGGTGTCTGTTATATAAATTTGGCATATTTTTTAAATTATTTAAAATAATTTAGTATAATTTACGTGTAAAATTCCAAAAAATCAAGAATATTCTTTCTAAAAATGAAAATTTACTTAAGAATATGTATTGCAAGGTTGTCATTTCTTAAATTTTATTTTGAATTCTAATTCACTGAGATATACAAACAGAAATTTCTATAAAATAAAAAAAATTAAATTAAATTCACTATTTTGCAAAAACTTTTTCATATACTTACAACTTTTTGCTGATATTATACCATTATATTGTCAAATATTGAATATTAAATAACCAACATTCATATTTTAATTTCATATACAAAAAAGTCATAATATTTCAATAAAATTATAAATATACAAGTGGAAATCCACTTAGCAAGCTAGATGCTTTTCAAAGTTACTCTATTTTTAGAATCACAAAAGTAATATCATTATAATGCAATAATAAAATCCTTGATATTAAATAGTTTTTCTTGGAATAGATAGGTGAAACTGGCATAAATGTTTTCGAGGTTTTCTTATAACATATATTATGTTTCAACTGGATTGACTATCATGATGCCTTTTTACAACATTGTAGAATGAAATGCTGTAATAGAAACTCAAAGTATACATGGATGATTAAAAGTAGTAATTATTTAATAGTTACAAGTATATTAGTATGGAAATATTTTGAATTTAGAAATCTTTTAGCTTACTCAATAATTTTTTATTTATTTTCTACATAATTAAATAAATGCATAACTAAAAAATTAATCATTTAAATGTATTATTATGATAAAAAAAATTAATTATAACTTTATAAATGTATCTTTTTAATTATATTAAAAAAAATTGACTTGTGTTTTAACTGTAAAACTATAACTATTTTTTAAAAATAGATTTCAAATTTGATATACATGTGTATGTGTTTATATCTGTATATATATATATATATATATATATATATATGTATATATACATAAATCTACCAATCAAGTCATGAAACAGTTTAAAATTGAATTAATGGTTCAAATTACTAAAAAAAAAGAAAATAGTTACGTTTTTTTATAATATTTTTTATAGAATGGTTCAATAAACTATTATTATTATTTTTACATTCAGATTTATATAAAAAAATTATGATCATTATTAATTTTTTTGAAATAAAATAAAATTTGTCTTTATATATTATTTTGTAAAATACAAATTTAATTTTAAATAATTGCATTTACTTCAAGAAGTGTTTAAATGTCATTTTAAGTAAATGTATTAGAGGATCAGTAAAAATAATATTTATTCATTATTTTTATAAATAAAATTACTTTAAAAATAAAAAATAATTATTAATAATAATCTTTAATTTATAGTTATTAATAAAAAATAATTTAATAATAAAAAATAATTATTAAAAATTATCATACCTATTAATTTATTTTTATTAAATAAAAAAATTCATTTTTTAAAGTTATAAATGCATGATAATATGTAATTTTTAAAAAAATTCTTATTAATTATATATATATATATATATATATATATATATACATTCTTTTTTAATGTCATAAAATTGTCATCAATCTCTGAGTTTACTACTTTTGAATTAATTGAATATATATTTATATTATTCAATTATAAATTTAATATTTATTAATATATATAAATTATCTAAAAATGACTTAAAACATTGTTTGCATAATAGTTTATATATAACTAATTTTATATTTATGATTACATTAAAATTATTTAAAAAACTTAAATTCATCTGTATATATATATATATATATATATATTTATATAAATGCCCTTTGGTAGGAATTCAAGATCTCTTTGTGTAGTAGCTGTGGTATATACCGATATTTTAAAACTTTATTTATATCTACTCCTTTGCTTATTATGTTACATTCTTGTTTGTCTTTGTACAACTCACACATATGTCATAAGTATACATTATATTTGTTATTATAGAAGATTATACATCAATGCTATAGTAAAGTTGTTTAAATTTGGTATATTCATTTTATATCATGTTGCATAAAACTCATAAATATAATATTTGTTTAACCTTAATTCTATTTATTTCTTGTATTATATTATTACTAAATTCTAACTTGGATTAAATAACCAACTCCTATTATATTTGGGTAATAGTAATTTTTGGTTTTTATTATATCTTTTAATAAAAAGATATCCATTTTTGTTAGTAATAGTTTTTAAAGTAAAACAATTATAATTTTTAAAATTAAAAAAATTAAATTAGACGTACAATTTTGCTATTTTGAATTATTCTTTTCTTTGTTCAATTTTGCTCCATGCACACAACTCTCTATGTACTTATATACCTCATTGAAAAGAAAATACATACCATATTTATGATTTTTTTACTTTTGTTTATGTATACTTGCTATTGCTATTGCAATCTTTTGCTCAACCAACATCATTCCTACTCTTTCTAATGAAACGTACTCAAATTGATACTTTTGCATAATATTCTTAATTGATACTATTTATATTGATTTTAAAAAATATTTTCATGTTAATTTTTGTTGTTGTTTTGATTCTAATATTTTAGAATTTTTGATTCTTTAAAATATTTTATTTATAATTTTAGAAGGTTGTAATATAGAAAGAATTATTCTTCTATTTGAATTGTCTTAGAGAAGCAACAAATGAGAATACTAGAGGTCTTAACTCTCTTGGTCTCTTCTATCAACTTTTGGTGGTTAAAATCTTTCCCAACTTGATTGCATTTGAAATAAATATTCTAAAGCTCAAAAAGTTGATGTTGCTTGTATGTCTTCACTACAATTCTTAAGCTTTTGGTTGCAACAAATTGTTGAAATCTCTCTTTATTTCTATTCTTGAGTTATACCTTGCTCTTATGAAGGCTTATTAAGGTAGTTGAAGTGGTATGAAGAAAAAATGTATATTGGTGATGCTCTTTTGGTATTGGTGGCAGTGACATCAATGTAAGCAACAACAAAAAGAATGAACCAATGATAAGGAATTAGGGTTGCAATGTTGATAGTATTGTACTCTTGGAAAAACCATTCCTTCTATCTTTACTCCAACAATACAAATATGTGTGGTTAGAGTAAAAATGGATGTGGCCACAATCATTGCCAAAAAGTATTCCATGACACTTACAAATATTGATTATAATTTGTACCCTAATACAAATTAAAATTATTAAAAAATGACTATTATTTATAAAATTTCTACTAATTTCTTCTGTTTCAGAATTTCTGCTAAGAATATTCTCTCTCTCTCTCTCTCTCTCTATATATATATATATATATTGTCCTACTTGTCCTACATTATACGCAATGTAGAACACAAATGAATGTGAATGGAGTATGTGAATACATTTCAAAAAAAAGTTGTTTCGTAAATGCAAATACAATGGCCGATTGCAACAAAATTGAGTTCCTCATGCATCGCAATAAAATAGGCTCTAACAACATGACTTGATAAAAAGTGATTTCGTCGAACGACACATTCTAATCTGCCTAAAACATTCGACGCGCTTCGACCTTCCAAGCATTCCTTGTTCAGCTTTCAGCTCCCTTGCGCTGCTGTTATCTCCACCAAAGAGCTGTTGAACTCTTTAATCTTTCTATTTTCCTTGCCCTCTCCAGATAGTAAAAACAAAAACAAACTGTCCATACAACTCGGACTGAATCATGAACTCCGAATCTCTTTGTTCAATGCTGCAGTTAACGCCTGCGGCTACTTCATTCTTAAAGCCGAACCCAATCCTCCAGAGCATCGTTGTCGAGGAGGAAACTGTGGATATTACAACTCGAAGAAAAACAAAATCAGCTCGTTTGTAGATGGGTCGAAGACGCACAACCATTACTGCCTCGGACCCAAGTGCCCCATTTGCAACTCCTAGCCCAAGCCAAGGAAGGGAAGGCCACTTTCAACAAGGGCTCTGCACAATTCCACGGATGCAATTCACCAAAATAAACCATGAGTTCCTCGTTATCGCCTTCCAATCTTCGAAGCGCTTTGATCATGTTGTATCTGGAATGCCGATGTTGCTTCCGGATTATTGTAACGCATGCAGGGATCTTCCTTCTCGTCTCGCCAACGTGCGGCAAATGTAATTCTTGAAAATATGTGCGAGTTCTAAAGTACCGAAGCGGACTCTACCTACAGCCACATCTAGCCGGGATTAGGAAACTCTTAGATGGTAAGATGAGTTGCGTTTTTCGGATCGTCGGTCGTGCTAAAGCTGCGGATGTTGTGACTAGACTATGCACAGCAACCGTTTAGATCTTTTCAGGTGTAGTAACTCCATTGCAGCTTCAGTGTCTGATTGATTCAACTTATACCAATTTTTTCAAATAAAGGCAGACCGTGTTCGCAAGGTCAATTGTGACTTAGAAAATCTCTAGAAGCCCCTGCCCAGGTGGTAAATTGCGTGAATGACTAGACTACCCCCATCATGCTTATTTGTTTCAGGTCCAAGCTTGAATTCCAATATTGACCGTTCCCATGAGCGACTAGCATTAAGCACGATACCATTCCACCTCATCTCTCGTCTCCACCTCCTCAGTGTGTGTTCCATGCTCCTGACAAGGTTACGATGACGCAGTCGTGGTACACAGGCATCCATTTCTGAACAGTTTCTTCATTCTCGCAGTGTACGGGTTTCACAAAATGATAACGACACGCTGAAACTCTAATCTCCATTCTCTCAACTGCACATACATTGAAATAGTTTAGAAGGCAAGTATTACACGTATGATTGCACGCATGTGAAGGTATGTTCCACAGCCATGCAAAACTTCGCATCAATGTCACCCTACATTGTCCACAATTTCTTTCTACCACATGTATTATCATTAAAACCTTCTCCCCTCTACCATATGCACTTGCTTTAGGCCACACGTTCTGCTCATAACCGTTTGTGATACAACAGAGGCTGACAGGCTGCGGACAATGATTCTGGCTATGGTTGATGTTCGGGTGGTGCTTATAAAAATAGCTGATCGATTGCATAATTTGAGGACTTTAGAGGCCTTGCCTTCCCACAAACAGATAGGTATTGCCAAGGAGACGCTGGAGATTTTCGCTCCCTTGGCGAATCGCCTGGGTATTTGGAGTTGGAAGGCTGAAATGGAAGATCTTTGCTTCAAGTGCTTGAAGCCTGTAGATCATGAAAATTTGTCCATAAGGCTGTCAGAGCGATGTCGAGAGGGACTAGTAATGTCTTCCATCAGATACCTGGACGAAGCATTGAGAGTTGGTGGGGTGCAGTTTATTGATCTGTGTGGACGACCTAAGAATCTGTACAGCGTTTACAAGAAAATGATGAAGTAAGAGCTCATGATGCATATTTGGTTATTCATACGATGTTGGGCATCCCATTTGTGAATGTAGAAGTTGAAATGCTATGAGTGGCTGGTTCAATGCATCTGCGGATACGTCACTAAGCCATTTTTGGGATGATTCTGTGCAGAAAAAAGAGAAGCCCCGATGAAATTCTTGATGTAAGAGGATTGCGTCTGATCGTGACAGATGAGGAAAGTTGTTACCAGGCTTTGGAGGTCGTCCACCAACTTTGGCGATGTATTCCTGGAAAGACGAAGGATTACATTGTTGATTCGAAGCCGAATGGGTACGGCATTCAATCTAACGGGGGATTCTACACCATGAGTGCATTTCTTTTTTTGTAATCGTATGGGACATTTCTTTCTTCCTGTATTTCAGTTTGCCTCGGCACACGATTTGTGATTGGGTGTTGATTGGTCTTTTATTTCTTTGCAGATGCAAGTCCTTACACACTGTTGTGATTGGAAGTGACGGATATCCGCTGGAGGTGCAAATTCGGACAATGAAAATGCATCATCAGGCTGAATATGGGTTAGCAGCTCACTGGAGATATAAGGAAGACAACAGTGAACATTCTGCTTTCAGTTCTGAACGTGTGGAGTGGGCTCGCTGGGTGTTGACGTGGCAAAGTGAGATCATGGATACTAAGCTGAGAGTATCACCGTTGGCAGCAGATTTGAAACCGCCATGCCCTTTCCCTGTGCACAACAAAGAGTGCCCTTACGCTGGATCTTGCTGCGAGCCAGTGATGAGGGAGAATGACCCAGTGTATGTTATAAAAATGGAGAACGAACATATTCTAGTGCGAGAGCTTCCTCCAGGTTCTACGGTTGGAGACCTTGTGCGATCGAAGCACTCGGATATGAATTCTCTTGTGGTGGATTCAAGATCTGCCAACGATAATGGTTTGCGCGTTAAAGTAAATCACGAATTTGTCGACACAATGGAACCGAAATTAAAAATGGGCGACTTTGTAGAGGTTATGAGCACTGTAAAGAAACCCTGCGGTAAGGTAGCTTTAGAATTCTAGCGGGAGCAGCTGAAGCGCCTATACCTTGATGGAGGAAGCTCCAATGAAGATACGAACACCACCTGGTGGGAGCGAAGTGCAAGCGTTGCTGGTCTGTAATGAGGAGATGATTTGGACGTCCTTGTTTGATGACAAAGGCATGGGCGTTCTACATTTGGCTGTGTATATTGTACAGAATTAACATCAACAATTGGTTAGATATAATTCATTCTTTACCTCAGATGAGGTCGTAAGGTTTATACCCAGGAGCTCAATATGGAGGACTCCTCCATTCGCAGCATATGGCTAGTAGTCAAGTTTTTCATCTATGTAAGGAGAAGAAATCAGTTTCAAATTGTTATCAGTGTATGACTAAATTAAGAAAGCCATTTTTCAACCATCCGCTATTGTCATCCTTTTTTTCAAACACTCCGTGTCCTCCAGACCAATAACTTATTATTTTGCTTTCAGTTGTGATCGTGAGAGGGGGAGGAGTTCTAGTCCGCCTGTGGCGTGGAAAGGCACCACTCTATATCCGGCCCCGACCTGGGGTCACTCAAGCCCACGGCTCACGGGGCAGGTAGCGAGGAATTCAAACCTTTGACCAGGGGGAGGCAGAGGCATCCACGAGGCGGAGTTGTTTCTGCAGTTCGATGAGGTTACGTAGGCTTCACAGGCTATTTTGCACTCGTGGTGGTGGTGGTGGTGGTCGTGGTTGTGGCTACGTGAGGGTGAGACGGATGGGTCCATACCGTTCGCGAGGAGGTGGCGTGACTCTTGCGAGACGTAAGGTGTTGGACTGCTGAAATTTACCTCGTCCAGCAGTCTTTCTCCAGTGGATTTTGGTGCTAGAAACTGTACTTTAGGAGACTGTTCGCCCACTGTTGTGCCTGCAGGTTGCGCGTCTTCATTCCATGGCTTTGCTCAGAGAGTTCATCAGGGTTGAGTGATTCTCTTAAGAATGGCGCCGGGACGCAGAGTTAGTTGTGTAGAAGACGGGGAGTTTTTGGTCTGTGGACCATCTATCTAGCTTGTGTAGTCGAGGAAGCTTGATGGGAGACTCTAATGGCTCTGTACAGGAGATGGAGCCAGGGTCTCCGAAGGCTCTCGAATCGGTGATAAGCGATTTGCATGTGAAAAGGACAAGGCCAAAGCTTGGATTGGTACCATTAGTTGCTCTTATATTTTACGAGGTCTCAGGTGGACCGTTTGGAGTGGAAGATTCTGTCAAGGCAGGTGGACCTTTGCTCGCTATTGTGGGTTTCCTGGTATTCCCCTTTGTATGGAGCATTCCAGAGGCATTGATAACTGCAGAGCTGGCCACAGCATTTCCCGAGAATGGAGGGTATGTGGTGTGGATCTCAGCTGCATTCGGAGAATTTTGGGGTTTTCAGGAGGGTTGGTGTAAATGGATCAGTGGAGTTGCAGACAATGCATTGTACCCTGTTCTGTTTCTGGACTACTTCAAGCGTGTAGTTCCACTATTTGCAGATGGACCTGCGCGTTACATCGCCCTCATAGTCATTACAATCTTGCTTACTTACCTTAATTACCGAGGATTGACGATTGTGGGCATGACGGCAGTGTTTCTCACAGGCTTTTCGCTGCTGCCATTTGTAGTTCTGTCGTTCATGTCAATTCCCAAGATACGCCCGAAGAGGTGGGGGGCTGTTAACCTTAATAGGGTGAATTGGGGGACATACTTGAACACTTTGTTCTGGAACTTAAATTATTGGGATTCTGCAAGCACATTGGCAGGTGAAGTCGAAAAGCCTCAGCGAACCTTTCCGAAGGCTCTCATGTGGGCAGTGTTGATAGTCATTGTGGGTTACGTCGTGCCATTACTGGCCGGCACCGGGGCCATCACGCCAAACGATGCTTTGTGGGAGAGTGGATACTTCGCAGATGTTGGGAAAGCAATTGGAGGGCCTTTCCTCAAATGGTGGATTGAAATCGCGGCTCTCCTGTCCAACATGGGATTGTTTGAGGCTGAAATGAGCAGCGACTCTTTTCAGCTGCTGGGAATGGGAGAGATGGGAATGCTGCCCAAAGTGTTTGCAAAACGGTCCAAGCATGGAACACCCTTACTTGGCATCCTCTTCTCTGCATCCGGGGTGCTTCTATTGTCTTTCATGAGCTTTCAAGAGATTGTGGAATTTCTCAACTTTCTGTATTGCATCGCCATGCTCATTGAGTTTGCTGCCTTCATCTATCTGCGATTGTCACAACCTAACCTAGTGCGGCCATACAAGATACCATTTGGCACTGTTGGCGTCACAGTCATGTCAATACCAGCAATCGGACTAATAATCCTCGTTATGTGTTATGCGTCATGGAAAACTATAGTTGTAAGCGTTGGACTTTTCCTTCTTGGTATGATGACCTATCCTACCTTGCAGCATGCGAAAGCCAAAAGATGGGTGGCTTTCGTCGACCCAAAGGTGGTTCGTCCGGCAGATGTTGCCGATTCTGGTGCAGCTCCACAAGCGGAGCGTGGTGACCCTGAGGTAAGACTACTCTCTGGTTGCTCTGGGTTGTGACAGTGTTCCATTGATGGTGCTTCCTTGTGTTTGTGCTGCAGGAAATGGGAGTCAAGGCATGTATTTCGACCAATTGCAAGACCTTTTTTGCATCCGTCTTTCTGTCTTGTTTAGACTGCAGTTTTTTGTCAAGTGTAATTCAGCTCTCTTTGGGATCTTGTGTCACTGGCATATGCTTTGTAACAATACTGTAGGCTTCAGATTGCTTTCGTTTGCTTTGCGATTTCGACCTGGTTCGGTGATCACTATGATTCAGAGTGTCTATAGGCTAATATTTATGACTATTCTACTCTCAGCTCAATGGAAATGATATGAAGAAACTCTTGATTTAGGAAGATAACTGGCAGGGAATGAGCTTCCTGAACGGCTTACTGGCTATCTATTGGACTTGGCAGATACACTATAGAAAGATCATGCATGTATTCATGAAATCTTTCTCACTAGGTTGTATAGTAACTGCATAATAAGATCTAAAATTATATAAATTGTGAAATAATTTTGATTTTATTTCCGTGCTGCAGCCCAGGGTTCCCAGTGGAAGCAACTCAGTGCATATTGAGCTTGGTAGCGGTAGATGATGGAGGAGCATCTCCACAAGGAGGCTGCTGTGGTTACAACTTGATCTTGACTGCTTGCTGCTGGTGGCCATCCATAGCAGGGTATGCCTACACTTTTTGCAATTTTTTTGATAATCTTGTGATCACCACAATGCTCACTGAGGAATGAGCATTGGTGCATAATCTTCGAGGTAAAGTGATTAAAATAGAAAAGAAAGTCAAATATAGAATTCTGTGAACATGGGATGCAAATAATAGAATGTTCAGTGGTCAACTCATGATAGTTAACCTGAAGTTTCATTGAAAAGTGGGAAATCAGTCTCATACCATTTTGTTGATTCCTGGGAATGTTGATTTTCTGGAGCCAAAGCTAACATGGCTATTGTCTTCCAAAATGAATGGAGCATGTCAAAAGAGTAGTTCTTAAATAATTCTGGAGTGTTGATGGGAATTAAGATGTCTATTAATAGGATACGAATATCATGGACTTATTTAAGCCATGAAACTAAAGTCACGGATTGTGTTTTTTCTGCACAGTTTACAATGATAGTATAGCATCATGCCTGATAGTTATTCTTTGCTATAATTCTTATTCATTCACATGTTCCTGTCAACATATTTTATACTATTTGATGGTAAAGATGGACAAAGATATCAGAAGAATTTAAAGAGTTGTTTTTCATATTACTTTTTGTCAAGAAAGTCATGCATTCAAAGTTGGTTTTAATTTAAGATGGTCATCTATGCTTTAAATGTGGAAAAAATAAATATTACATGTTTTTCTTGATGTATGATCAATTTTCATACAATTGGCATACATCATAATTGTTGCCATCTATCCAAGTAGAATTGGATTTTTCTACAACACCAAAAATGCTCCACTTTAATTATTCAACTTCTTTGTGGCAATATATTTATTATTTATTGAAGGGACTCTATTCTTTGACGAGGCAGGGGGCATGCAAAAGAGAATTCATCATGTATTTGTGTGTAAGTATTTGAATTCATGTTTAATAAGGCAACATAAAATAATATCTCTTTTTGGGTTCTTTCATAAAAGACGGGATAAGAAAATTGATCAACACAAGCTATAAGTAAAACAATTATAAAATATTCATCATATGGTTACGTCATAATTGTCAAGACTGTAGATGTGTTCAATAAAACAGTAAAAAGTTCTAGACTCTTATAAAATGAAGGAACCTGAAGAGTTTCTTGTGCTAAAACATGCCTAATTTTGATTCAATAACAGAATACAGTGAAGAATTCTTTAATTCTGTGGACTCAAAACCGATTCAGACTTTTCCCACATCGCCAGAGTTCATGATGCTTGTAGACAAAACAGATGTCAACAAGAAAAGGCTATGTGGGATTCCAGATCCACAACAAGGCTGAACACAGCAAGTAAGAAGCCATTGACACATTAGAAGACGCTTCCTAATTTTTATTCTTGAACTCGACGAACGGGTGCATCAACTTGCCGCCAATTTCATCTCAATTACACAGTTTCTGGCTAGAGTATGAAAACTCAAAATTGCCCAACGCAGTCTGAAAGACAACAGCAACCAACAGTATCCATGATCTGCACTCCAACCATTCCAAAATAGGAAAAGAAGAAGGAACTCACAAATGGTGTCGCCAGTGACTCAAGGATTGAATGCTTCAGGTGGGGGTGGCACCAGGATGACCCCCCTCGTGTCAAGCAATTGAATGAGCACTAGGTATCCCACTCCCAGCAAAACAGAGATGGCACCAGTTATAATTGCTGTTCTCTGACCCTTCTTCACCTCTGCCTCAGCTGCACCCACCAAATAACCACTGAACCGTTTAAAAGCCTTCGATGGCAAGGTTAAGAGAATCCATTTAGATTCTTACATTTTCGGAATTAGGAAAAGTAGAAGGGTTGAGCTCATTGAAGTAAGGGTTACACCTATAGCTCTTCTGTCGCTGACAGTTGTTTGCTCTGCTGGAGGAGAAGTCGTACTTTCAGTGGTGGAAGTAGATGTGCTTGACGCAACTGAGTCATTCTTCTCATCCTCTCCGTTTGAAGTTGCAGCAACAGTGAAAGGTCGGGCTCGCCAAGCCTGTCTGAATGCAGGCTGGATGGACCATGCAGCAGGAGAAACAACGGGCCTTGACCTACTGACCTTTGAAGTGTTCAAGCTCCAGGAATGAGGACTACCCGTAGCAACTGAATTCATAACCATTTGAGCTGCCATTTTGTACACGCCGTTGGAGACGGAGAGAGACCAACAGAAAAGCGAACCGAAGTAACAAACCCTTCACTCCAGTCGTCAATTTCCCCACACTGCACGTGTAATGCAAAGATTCACAAAATAAATGAATTACAAAATTAAAAATATCACAAATTCCGAGCTGCTATCGAATCCTACGCTAGCAACAATTCCAGAGCGACCTCTCGAACTCTCCAAGTGTGCCATTAGCCGTGCCACTACAATCTAACAACATTAAGCATAGTTAATTTTTGTCATTACAAACCACCCACAGCGATTACATGAGGACAACTGGAGTACCCGAATAGATTGTTCAGTATCGATTTTCTAGATTTACTACATTATTTCACCGATAAAATTGGAATGTACGTAAGCGGAAACCGACACAAACTGCTGTCTCGTGGAGCATCTCATTGTCCTCTTCAAATACATTCACATTCCGTTCGCTTAAATCAAACAGCTTACGGTAAACCATAACGGCGTGCATATAAGTATATCTATTCGCGCTCCTTTAAGTGGGTCAACACACATTCATAGGACACAAGAGCTGAGACTACTAACTAGTATCTAGAGGAGGGTTCACTTCCAACAATTCAAAGCTTCAAGAGATTAGAACCCCTTTCTCTCGAAAAAACTAAGCGTCCCTCTAACGAAATTCGACCGTCTCACCACAGAATTGAGTCAAGAACCCAATTTCTCGCACGCCAGGATTCTATCCCTTTAACATTAGCTTTTCAAGTTACTCGCACTCAGAAATGAAGCAAAAGCGCAAAGAAAACGAACTTTCAAAGGGATTTCGACTCAACTCAACGCAGTCATACCCAGAAAGACAGCCCACAAATGTACTAGCAACGGTGAAAACCCAGAATTGCAAGAGATAGTTGGAAATGCGAGCAGCGGAGAAGCAAGGCGCTGTGGAGAAGAAGCAAGCAAGCAAGGTGTGGGGGAGCAGCAGCACTGCGGAATTCTGCTCTGCGATCCAAGCGAGAGCGGCGTCAGACGCGGCGTCGGTGAGCACCACAAACTGGCACCCCACCCACCAGGACAATGTTCCCCCACTCTTGTTCCGCTCCAAGTTCACCACATTCACAGCCTCTTTCGGATCGAGATGTACGTACATATTTATGTATGTATGTATCTGTGAGCGAATCTATGATCACTTTCGAGGTAAGTTTATTTAATGGATTCATTCGTATATAAATTCGTATACATATACACACATACATGTATTTATATATATATATATATGTATATATGTATGTCAAGTACTTGTAGATGAAGATTTATAGAATCAAAGAGTTGACATAGAAATTGAAAATAGTTTTAAGCACAACTTTATTATTGCACCAAAGCTTTTAAAATATATCGATAAATGTTAACAAAACAGTACCTAAGAATTTCAAATTGTATACACTGAAGCTTCAACAGTATCGAATGAGTTATCGGTTGTTATCGGAACTAATCAAACGGATACAGCAGGCTGGTGGCTAAGAATATGTTTGTAAAAAAATATATATTTATCACGACATTGAGTTTAAACAAACATACAGAACAACTACTGGGTATCTGGTCCACTGGTGTGATTCTCGCTTCTCCAGCACCCCGGCCTGATGCCGCGCTCCGATGCACATTGAAATTACAAGTATTAAATCCGGCAGGAATCCTTAAAGGTATGATTCTCGCTTTGGGTGCGAGAGGCAAGAAGTTCGATTCTCCCAATACCCCAATCAATGCCGCTTTGGCATTTGAAACTTCGTTTTTAATCATTACAGAATGTGAATAATCTCGTAAGAAACATGGTAAGTGGGATTCTTCAACTACTTCGTATACTGTGATTCTAGATTTAATTTGTCCATGTTCGTTAGTTGTTAGTTGTTAGTTTGTCAACAAGCCCCTTTTTGCAACACTTGACCATTAGTTCTCACTTTACTACTTAATTCTATCGTAAAATTCCTAACTTCCCCCACGCAATATTGTGTTCAGCACATAGATAGAATAAATATAACAAAAGAAAATGAAACAAGATGCAAAAGAAAAGTGAAGAGGCTAAATAAGACATGTACACGAAGACACATTGCAAGGTCATTCAGCATAGAAATGAGATGTATATTTTACTCTTCAATGTAAAGGGACAACACACAACTTTTAAAAACGATTCTGCCTACAAGTACCTACAAATGAAGCAAATGTATCAAAACTACTCACTTTCTGACACACAATTGTTGTCGATTTTCTGTATCTATGTTTTAAGTAATACTAACTTTCATTCGTTTGCACTAAAATTTTGAAACATAGACATGTAAACATATTCACAAAGACTGCAGTTTCAGGAATATTCTCACACAAAAACAAATTGAGAAACACGATGCAAATTATGCTTTGAATGCTGCTTATACCCTCATCCAATGCTATCTTTATACATTTTACCATACAAACCTTGCGTATTTAATGACATGGCACAATTTTTTTTTAATAGAACCACTAGTTGTACCCCTGCTTCAAGAACAAGAATAATAGGATGTTCATCTCAAAGCTTCATTTCAGATACATTACTTAACAGCACACATACAATGCACTCCCACAATGAATGGTTGTAGAACATGGTTGGGCATGTTGAGAATGTTTAGAAAGACACAAGAGTAATAGTAAGTCATACACACACACAAGAATAGTAGTAAGTCATATACACAAGAGGGTTTTCAAGGAAAGAGAGCTTCACACACACTGAATCTATTCATCTGGTTGTGTCTCGTATACAAGAAGAGAAAAGAGAAGAGGATAAACAATACTTCTTCACTAGACTCTACATACTGTAGCTACAGTAATTATTGTAGTCTACAGTAAATATTATGGAGAGTGCCAACTACATTTAATGATCTCAATACTCCTCCTCGCTCATCATAATATTTACATAATATAAAATTTGTATAGAATTATGATCTATACTTTTCTGTGATCTTGCAAGATCAACAATTATTGCCTCATTAAAACCTTATCTAAGGAAAACTTATTTTATTTAAGGACAAAACCATAGATGAAGGAAAAAGAGTATAACATCATTTTCTTTAATTATTTAAAGAGCTCATTAACTTTCTTATTCAAGAAAAGCAAGTCGCCGCATACCAATGCCATAAGTAAGTTGACGATGGTTACTTAATGGGAGAGCTTTGGTGAAGCGATCAACAAGGTTATTTGTAGATTCAATTTTCTTAATTATAAGTGCTTGATCAGTAATCAAGTCATGAGTATAACTAAAATACTTTGGATCAATATGCTTTGTCTTGTCACCTTTAATGAAACCAACTTGTATCTGTGCAATACAAGCACTATTATCTTCATGCAAGATAGTTGGAGGATCATCATATGAAAATCCACAGGTTGTTTGAATGAATTTATTAATTGATTGTAACCAAATACATTCTCGAGATGCTTCATATAAGGCAATAATTTCTGCATGGTTGGATGAAGTTCCAATTATTGTTTGTTTCATTGATTTCTATGATATTGCAGCTCCATGTCTTAAGAATACATATCCTGTTTGAGATTTAGCTATTGCAATATCAGATTTATATCCTGCATCACAATATCCAACCAATTTTGGATCTGTGGATTGTGTATAGTATAATCCCAAGTCTTCAGTACCTTTTAAATAATGTAATAAATATTTGATGCCATTCCAATGTCATAGTATTGGCCGTGCATTATGTCTTGTAAGAATACTAAATGCAAATGCAATATCTGGTCTTGTAGATGTAGTTAAATACAAAAGTGCTCCAACTGCTGCGAGGTATGGATATTGGTCTCCCAATATTTCCTCCTCCTCCTCATATGGACGGTATGGATTATGACCATCTCGACCACATCCAACCATTGGTGTGGACAATGAATAAGAATCAATCATATTAAATCTTCGCAAGATTCGTCTAATATACGTCAGTTGGTAGAAAAAAATGGTACCATCTGTTAGATGCATAATCTGAAGACCAATGTAGAAAGTTATTTTTCCTAGCATTTTCATCTCAAATTCATGTATAAGTAGGTTTGTAGCTATAACACATGCAGATGTAGTGCCCACTAGGTTAAGATCATCAACATATACAACGATGATGACAAAACCAGTTTTATCTCGTTTGATAAACAAACAAGGGATTAGTGAATCACTTATAAAATTATTTGAAATTAAATAATCTCGAAGACATTGATACCACATGCGTCCGGATTGTTTTAAACCATACAAGGCCTTACATAATTTAATACCACAATATTTTTCTGGAGCGGGTTGATTTGGAGTTCCTGTTTCTAAGCCAGGTGGAACTTTCATATAAATATTTGCATCAAGAGAACCATATAGATATGCAGTTACTACATCCATCAGATGCATCTCAAGGGTGGCGTGAATTGTCATTCCAATAATATATTGAAATGTAATTGAATCCATGATTGGAGAATATGTGGATTCATAATCAATGCCAAATCGTTGAGCAACAAGACGAGTTTTATAGCGGATTATTTGGCCTTGAGCATCTCGCTTGCATATTAATACCATTTTATATCCCATAGGGCGAGATGTAAGAGTGTCTACAATTGGACCAAAGACTTTCCTCTTACGCAAAGATGCATACTCCTCCTCAATAGCAGTTTTTCATTTTGACCAATCTGAGCGATGCATTGCCTCTTCGATGGTTTGAAGTTTAGGATCATCTTCCTCACAAGAAAGGGCTTCTATAATCATATATGCAAATGATTCATCTACCGTAATAGATGGTCTGTCCCAAATATCATCTATAGCACAATACATAATAGATAATTCTTTATTCAACTTGTTCTTATTCCTTCCAATTCCAAGATTATTTTTCATAGGAATTGAAGGTACATTATGCATGGATATATCATCATGAATTGATAGTCCTGCAAGATGAGTGGCAATTTCTTGAAAAATAATACCAAAATTAGTTAATTTTATAGCTTTCTTCTTACGTGGTTGTTTATCTGGTCCATAAGTTCTTTTAGTTGTTGTTGTTATAATTTGAGGTATTATAGTCAATGGCATTGCAATCTAAGCAGGTGCATTCTAAGCCTCATTAATAGGAACTCTTGTAATTTTAGGTGCATCATTGAAGCCATCAAGTATTTCATCCGCAATCCGTTTTAATTACAAAATCTTAGCAACTTCAGTTTTTGCCAAAGATGTCTTAGGATCGGGATTCATTGTAAACATTTTTGGTGCTTCAAATATGAGTACTTTATTTCTTTGTTGATTGGATACTCCTCCTTGAAGAGATGAGAATACATTTTCTTCAAAACGGCAATTTTACAAATGTGCACGTAATAATGTGCCAGTTGATGGATCAATAATACAAATAATGCTTGGTGAATCAAAACCAACATATATGCCTTTTTGTCGATGAGCTCCAATAGTACACCATTGAGGTTCTCGTACTGGAATCCAAGCACGGCAACCAAATACTTGTAAGTGAGATACATTTGGAACACGACCCAAAATGAGCTCATGTGGTGAAATAATTTCAAGAGAAGAAGGACGGAGGCGTATTAATGCTGCAACATGTAAAACTGCATGATTCCACACAGATGCAGGTAGATTTGCGTGAAGGAGGAGTGGTCGGGTAATGAATTGTATATGCTTTATAAATGACTCTGCAAGTCCATTTTGAGCATGTTTATATAGAACTTAATATGTCAATTCTATTTCTATTGCAGTACAATAGTCTTCAAAAGACTTTGATGTGAATTCTTTTGCATTATCCATATGCAATGTTTTTATAGGATAATCACGAAAATATGCCCGAAAGCGAATAAGTATAGATATAAGATTGACAAACACCATGTTTTGAGTTGATAATAATGAAACATGTGATTGTTTATCTGATGCATTAACAAGGACCAAAAACTAATGAAATGGTCCTAATATTAGATTAATAGGACCACAAATATCACCATGCAATTTTTCAAGCATTGGTGGTAATTCTAATGGAAGTTTCCATATTGAAGGCCGAGTAATCATTTTACCTTATATGCATGTACGACATAATTTCATAGAGTCTACATCTGTAGGCTTTAAAA